TGCATCTCAACAGGGTGGCTTCCAACTTGTAAATCCAACTGAAGATTGGTTCCCAGGTTAATATAAGTTTGTATCTAATACTCTCTCTCTCTCTCTCTCTGACTCTGCTAATGCAGATCTTATTCCTTCTGACTGCAGGACTTGAGGAGATTCGTGAGGAGTTTGTCAGTTGGGCTTGGCGTTATGGAAAAACTCCTAAGTTCACTGTATCTCGATCTTTCCCTGTACCTGACATGATTGCTCGTCAGTCTGGGGTGCCTCTGAAGGACATAAAAGAAGACCTCGCTATCTCTTTTGAGGTTGTGAAAGGTGTAATTGAAGACGTCACTCTGAAAATTCCCCCTAGCATGATGTCTGCCAAAGGTAATAAAAACTGTAATAAAAATGAAGCAACAAACTTCACTCTTAGCTGAGGTGTTGACTAAATATGATCTCAGGTTTTTCAGGAGACGCTGAGGTCCTAACTTCTCTTCGTGGAAAACGGTTTTGTGAATCAGCTATGGAAATTCTTGGAGAATCCCTTGGCCAATCTGAATCTCAGCACTCATGTGCTGAGCAGTTGGGCACATCTGTGGAAACTGAAGGAGAGAGATTTGTTGCAGACTGTATGCGCCAGGTAAAATTAAAAACAGTTTAGATATGAACTTGAGTTTTGTTCCATAGATTATTATTGTGATCTTGGTTAGAAAATTTAATGTAACTGATGATGCAACTCTTAAATTTCAGACTATGATGGCTGTTTGACGGGGCGCACCCCGGCTTCTCGTGAAGAATTCAGAAAAACAACCAAACTGAAGATGCCGGGGGTAGAGTACCTGTTATAAAGAATAGCAAGCTATTCTTTAGAAAATGTACCATAATAGATTTTTCCATTCTCTTCTCTGCGTGCAAAGCAGTCTTGCATGGAAAAATGTATTTTGTTACTCAGATGCTCACTCAATACAGAGTGAAGTAGAGTTGAGGCCTGATAGTCATATTGACCAAAATAATAATAAGTCTTCCAAAGTGTATTGTGATAATTTTTTTTCTTGTTGATGTTTGTCTCTACTCTACTTGATTCTGACATGTTTTCGTTGTTATGTACTAAACTTATTTTTATCAATGTGTATATTCTTCTGTTTTAGTGTAAGTTTTAAAACACAAATGTCACCATTGTTGCTTTTCAAAGAACATTCTTAAATAATACTGGTCTGGTTTACTTGCCAATCACTGCCATGAGCTTGTTTACGTAACCAGATAGACAGGAAAATTTTTCTTTTCAGCTCTGAAAAATTTGTAAGAAATGTGTCATAGTTTGTTTTT